AGATACCTTATACCTGAGGCATGAGCAGGGATGCCTGGAGAAAGGAGATCACCTTTTCATGACTGAAGGCCTGGTCAGGGCCAGCACAATACAGTTTTCCTGCCTAAGGTGAAGGTCAAGCTGCCCCTGCAGTTCAACATACAGAAGCAGATTGGCCTGGCAGCTGGTGCACCTGAGGGCAGCAGCCTGGTTAAGTGGGGCAGCTTAAAGCTACACATAGCTCTGCCTTCCAAGCCCTCCCTACTGCTCCCAGGTGGCCACTTCACTCTGCCTAAAAGGAAGGTGGGCTAGGTGATGACACACCTGGCTTTGGTGCAGGTAAGAAAGTGGGACTAAACTAGGGGTTCTTGATGGGAATGTCTTTTTCCCCAAGCCTCAAAATGGCAGCCCCCATCCAACCCCGCTTTACTACTCCAGCTTTTCCCGAGAAAGCCCTGCCCGCTGGAGCTGGAGGGGAATCTGTCAGGAAGCCGCTTTTATAAGGCAGGAGCCCCGTTACTCTCCAGGGAGCGGCGAGCTGGCGGGCCTCAGCGTTTGCACCGCAGAGCCGGCAGAACCCGCCCTGCGTGGGCTTCCGCAGCTGGCCTCGGCGGGATTACTCCAGAGTAACAGCAGCCGCACCCACCAAGGCCGTCTTATCCGAGGCGTGTGGGCGGCAAAGGAGCTTTCCTCGCCCCGCCTGACCCCGGGCGCTCTGCAAAGGGGCTAAGGGCCTCCCCGGCGCAAACGGGAGCCCCGCCACCACCGCGCCAGGTGACTCGGCCTCCGATGTCCAGCCCGAGGAAGGGGAAGGAAGAGGACACGGGGTGGCAGCACACGCAGCCACGCCACGCCGTTTCTTGCCTCCCCCGCTTGGAAAGACAAAAGCCAGTCCGAGGCCGCCAGCCTTGGAACGTTTAGCCGCAGCCGAAACTGGGAGTCGCACTGGCATAATAATCCCCAAGCAAAGAAGCGCCTGTTCTTGAGGGGCGGGGTGTGCGTCCTGCGTGGGCGGGTCGGCGGGGCAGAATTGGGGCAGGGAAGAAGGCGGTGCCACCGGATTCGACGTCATCTCCTGGGGCCTGACTTGCCCAACCTCCGCAGGCCAAATGAATGGATGGAACTTTTCTCTCTGAGCGAGGCCCGCTAAAGAACCGAAGCAGAGGGGGAGAGGAAGGGCATGGCGCTTTGGGTTTCGAAAAACGCCAAAGGCCAACCAAAATGTCACAAATTAGTAAGCAGAGGTGGTCGTTTTTGTTTTTAAAGTCTACCATAACTAATTCTTTTTTTTAAAAAAACACACCAGGATAGAATATTAAAGCAATCCCCCAAACGAAGAAGCGCCTGTTTGTGTGTCCAGAAATGGAAATAAGTCCCAGCGAAGGAAGAATGGATACAAAAACTTATGGATTATGCAGAAATGGCGAAACTTACCAGAAAAATAAAAAATCACAATAGCAATCTTTTTATAAAAGAATGGAAATGGTTTACTGCATATTTACAAATATAAACAGATAAGAACATTGGCAGGATTATTGTAATAACTGCAGTGTTATAAAAAAAGGTAAAGGACCCCTGACAGTTAAGTCTAGTCGCGAATGACTCTGGGGTTGTGGCGCTCATCTCGCTTTACTGGCCGAGGGAGCCGGTGTTTGTCCGCAGTTTTTCCAGGTCATGTGGCCAGCATGACTAAGCCGCTTGAATAAATGAGCAAATTAAGTTAATTTGGAAATGCAGAAAGTATTAAAAATAAATTTAAGGAACTGCAGAAAGAGGAGGAAGGAAGTCAAGTTTCGAAATGTTAAAATGATTGTAAAATTATTGAAATGTATAAAACTGAAAAATCATATATAAATTAATGAGAATAAGAGTATTAAAGCAAAGCTGCCTGGAGGGGAACCTGGCTTGTTACTGAATGTGTGCTTTGGTCAGAAGTTCATTTTTGCTTCATACTCTTCGAAAAGGAGCAAGGAATGGCTTGCAGGGGTTGCCGTGAAGAGGGCCTGCCCCTTCCTTCCTGAACACTACAACAAAGGAATGGAAACCAGAAAACCCTTACTGGTCAACACTTCTTGAGACTACAGAGTTGAGGCCAATGATAGTCTTGCTCGAAGTAGACCCACTGAAATTAAAGTGCTTGATGAACTTCATTACTGTAATTTCAGCGGGTCTGCTCTTGAGTAAAACTTGGTTACAATCCATTTGTGTACATTATCCAGTCAGGGCCGGATTTAGGTTTGATGAGGCCCTAAGCTACTGAAGGTAATGGGGCCCTTTATATGTCCAGCTGTCCTTTGTCAACAACAAATTGTTGCTGCTTCTTGTGTTGAATATGTGTTATATGGTAATTTAAGGACCTAACAGGTATCTAAAGCCATTTGCACATAACAAATAGGAGCCTACACAACACAAAACACTGTTGTTGTGTGTAGGTTTTATTTTATTTGTTTTTTATCTTATGTTTTGGAAATGTACATCCAGTTTTTTCCCCTTTAAATTTTTTTGGGGGCCCCAAGAGAGTGGGGCCCTAAACTATAGCTTGTTTAGCTTATACATAAATCCGGCACTGTATCCAGTGCCCCTCCCCATCTTTCCCTAAAGTCTCCTCCTTTTCCTTTCCATTTGTGATTATTCCTCAGGAGCACCAAGGGTTCTTCTGGACTCTGGTGTTTATTATTATTTTTATCAACCACAACCAATGTTCTAAAAACCTGCTTGCTGCAGTTTCTCCTAGTCTAATACCCACATGCAGGCCTTTCAAGCTTGCTGTGCGAACCTTGCCCTCCTCTCCACCACCACTGAATTCGATAAGAGCAGCTCTGGAGGGGTAACTTTTGTCCGGGACACAACACCAGCGCGCATAGGCCCCTCCTCAGGCCTCCAGCCAGCGCTGGCGCGGCCAAGAGCTCCGGGAGGGAGGAAGAGAAGGGGACATGAGGCTGAGATCGCCTCGCTCGCTTCATTCTCAGCTCCCAAAGCCCCAGAGGCGCCGCGGTGCGGGAAGGTATCCGGTGCCCTGGCAAAGGAGCAGACGATTCAGTCATTCAAGCACTCAGTCGGTGCCACTAGAAAGGGGAGGAAATGAGCCGCTTCCGCTGTCTGCTCCGGAGGCGCATCCCTCGGGCGGATGCTTCTTGCGGGAAAGCATGGACTGCTTTACTGGAAGCGAATCTCCTGGCTGGGAAGAGGAGCGGCAGCAGAAGGGCCCTGAGCAAAGTATCCGGGTGTGTTTCTTTTCTTTTCTTTTTCTTTCCCCGCAGGCCGCATCATCATGCTCCTGCTTGGCTGGACGGCTGCTGCGACCCAGAGCCCGTGAAATGGTCCTGCTCGGATCGGAAAAGGGGGGCAAAGAAGGAGAAATGAGAGCCAGCTTCCCGCGAGAGGCCGAGGGGAAGGCGGGCGCTGCTTCCTTGAGCAAGCGCGGCTTTGGGAACAAATCCTGCAGCAGCTGCCCGGTTTTGCTTCCCAAAACAGGGAACTTAACTGAAGCAAAAGCAGCGACCACACGAATTCGCCAAGGGCAGCGGAGTTGGATTGAAAGCAGAGCTTCCTTTGTGTCAGGGCGCCTGTCGTGGGTCTCTGAGCATGAGCAAAATTTTCTCGCCACTGAGTGATCACAGAGAGGCTTTACGCTCCAGAGAAGCGAGCAGCACGAGGAGGAAAGGATTTTAGGCCAGGGGCGATGCTTGACGCACTGGCACCTCCTTTAGGATTTAACTACTGACGAGTTGAGAAGCTGGGAGATTCAGGAGTAGCAAGGGCTACTCCTGAAAAAGAGCTCTCACTCCCTCTTTCCAGGTATGGATGGACTCATTCAGACGTGTCACGACAGCTTCCTCTTTTCAGACGCCTGCCATAGTGACACACATGAAGAGCTGTGACACACCACAGGCTTCTGGAAGGCATGCAAGAGTTTTGCGTGTGCGTCATTGGTGCACAGATTCCCAGGGCTGGATTGCGCCTGAAAATCGTCAAGTGGCTAGACGACTCCTATCCTAAAGTAGCCTCTTCCAGCGTTAAAACATAAGCACACAACCTCCAATCATCAAGGGAAGGGAGGGGGGACTTGTGGTCCTCTAGACCTTGCCGGATTACACAACACCCATACTTCCTGACCACTGGCTATGCTGACTGGGAGTACCTGAGTTGGCCTTCAGCACCACCTGGGGGCCCACAGGTTAATCCCCGCCGCCGCCAAATACAACCTTATCCTGATTATAACATAGCCGTCCCTTTCTTACACCCCCTATGACTCCTTCGAAAACACAAGTACACCAGCTAGTGACTATTGCAAACAAGGGTGCCAACATGAATAAAATATGGGGGGGGGTATACCTTGCTCCGCATAATTGATCACATGATGCGGTGCACACACCATTTGAATGGCAATGCCCATCAACTTGCGGAAGGGGCAGTCCCCTCAATTATTTTTGGCAGGGTGTGTGTCCCAAAGACCCCTCATCCCCTAGGAGTTGGCTCGTACGATTGCACACATACTACATAGGGGTTATACACACGCACCCCACTACCACCGCCCGGCGTTCCCTAAGCCTGTAGCCTTAAGTTTTGCTCCAGCGCGAGCTACCGCAGACATGACCTTGCGCACCCCTTCCTGCACTTCAGCACCCTGAAGGCACACGCCGCGCTTCTTCTCAGCCTCGCTGCCAGCCGGGCCGAGGAGCGCTGCCTCTCTCTCTGCGCCGCACACGTGCAAGCGAGCCTTACGCAGCGGCCACAGCGAAGGCTCTTCTTTCCCTGTGCTCCCTGGGCGCCCCCGCCCACCGCGGGCTCTCCCAGTCCACCGTTCCATTCGCGACGCGAAGCGGAGGCGGCAGAGGCAATTCCCAGGCCCCCTCGGTCAATTCCACCGGGACCCCTCGGCTTCCACTTTCGGCTGCCCGGAACAGGGGAACAGGGCGCTCGCAAGGCAATTAAACAGGGATTCCACCCCATTGTGACGTCAGCGGGCTCGTAGCCCCTCCCGCGCGCTATAAAAGCAGCCCGCGTACCGCAGTCGGCTCAGCAGTTCGGCGGACAGTTCCATGGTGCTGAAAGTAACTCCAGCGTTTCGGGGCGCCGCGTCTGTTGGGAACTTTGCCCCGGCCATGTTCGCAGGGGTGCGGTGCAGCCTCGTGTTGGCCTCGTTCTTCTTTTTGAGAGGATGCGCCCAGAATTTCGGGCAGACCCGGTTTATCTGCACCTCGGTGCCGTTGGATACGGACATGTGCACTTCTTCTATGCAGAGCGGCGGCAGCACGGAAGACCTGAAGACCACCGTGCTACAGCTCCGGGAAACGGTGCTTCAGCAAAAGGAGACCATCATGAACCAAAAGGAAACCATCAGGGAACTAACCACGAAGCTGGGCAGGTGTGAGAGCCAGAGCTCGCTGGACACGGTTCCCAGTGAATCCAAAACGGGCGGGGGCTCCAGCAGGAAGCAGACCGGCTCTTCGAAAAACACCATGGGGGATCTGTCCCGGACTCCGGCTGCCGAGACCTTGACCCAACTTGGGCAAACTTTGCAGTCGCTTAAAACAAGACTAGAAACCTTGGAGGTACAACTTTCTCCTTTCTGTTTTTCCTTAGAACTAGAAAAGGAGACACGTCATACGTGGCTTTGGGATGGCCGGCCCCTGCCGTCTTCGGTGTTGATTTAATGCTGCACCCTTTGCCCTGTTCCCGAGGTAAAATGTCTGCAGCAAAATGTGAAGTATTCTCTGCCACTTCCCCACCCCCCACCCCGCTCCACTCTCATACAGTAGGGTTCTGTGGCAATTTGGGCGCTTCCCTTTGAGAAATCGGTGCTCCTTTGCTTGGAAAGCTGCCCGTGAGTTTAGCTGCCAGGGTAGCAAACATCAGGATGAGCCTGTGGTAAATAATGCTGTGGTGTTAATTTGGTTTGCAACAATCCACTTACTCTCTTTGCTTCTCCCCCACCCCGTGCAGCAATTCAGTAGGATGAATTCTTCCAGCCAGACCAATTCCCTGAAGGAGATACTCCAGAATAACATCGATGACTTAGAGAAGCAAGTCCTGTCCCGAATTAACAGCCTGGAAGAAGGCAAGTACAACCCCAAGAACGAGACTGAAGAAAGAGGAAAAATAGAAAGCACTTTAACTTCCCTTCACCAAAGGATCAGTGACCTAGAGAAAGGTAAAAAGAAGCTGAGAAAAGCTTAGATTTAAATGATCAGCATTTTGTTCCATTACACATTTGGAGGCAGCCTGAGAAAAACAGCTCACCTTCGCCCCCCCCCTTACAAAGCAGTTCTCCCCCCCCCCCATCTGTTTAAAAGAGATGAAGAAATGATTACTTTTCATTTAAATTATGAGCAAATGCAACTCTGATCCTCCCTGGAATTCATGGACAAAAGTGAGTGTGTCTCTGTGATTCTGTGTTTATGTGTAATGGGGAAGGACAGTAAATAGGTAATATCTCGTTCTTCCAAAGTGATATTGGTAAAGTAGGAAAGAACTACCTAATCTGTGTTAGCAAAGTATCTTTGACTCGGCACACCTATGTAGAAAAAATGCACCTTCAACTTGCTAATATAATTCATTCGTCTATATGCATTGGGGTCTACCCTCCAAGTGACCTAGGACAAGCTGTTTAACATTTTCTCCCTCCTCTAAGCAATTTGTGCATCTTAAACTTCAACAGAACCAGTAGTTGTGTCCAGACAAATACTCTGCTCCTTTCCTTTTTTTGTGTTCATTAGCGCTTTTTAGCTTTGTGGTAAAAAATAAATAAGGGGGGGTGGGAGAGAAAAGGAGAGAAAAGACCCTATTCCCCAAGCGCTGTCCATGTGACTAGGATTAGAGTGCCGAAATGTGCTGGAGGGATTTAAACAGTGCCATCTTAAGGCTCATTATATAATGAAGAGAGAGAGACAGACAGATAGACAGACAGACAGACAGACAGACAGACAGACAATTCTATGCAAAATTCCACTGAAGGAGGCTCAAGACCTTCCTGTACATTTTAGAATTACATCTATGCTATTATTCAAATAGGAGCACCCTATTTCATGTGCAATCCTATTGCACAACACAATCCTATGCATGTCTACTCAGAAGTAAGCCCCACTGAGTTCAATGGAACTTACTCCCAGGTAAGTGCATATGATTGCAGCCTCAGTACCCTTCAAGACCTCTGACAAACACCCTCTCTATCTTCCCTCAGGCCAGAAAGACAATCGGCCAACAGATAAGTTTCAGCTGACTTTCCCCTTGAGAACCAACTATATGTATGCCAAGGTGAAGAAAAGCCTGCCAGAGATGTACGCCTTTACTATTTGCATGTGGATAAAATCGAATGCCTCCCCAGGTGTGGGCACACCCTTCTCTTATGCAGTACCTGGGCAAGCCAATGAGCTAGTGCTTATTGAGTGGGGCAATAATCCCATGGAGATCCTTATCAATGATAAGGTAAGTGACCAGTGTTCTAATCCTTTAATTGCCATGGCATGATCTGAAGGGTAAGGAGGGGAGAAATGTATTAATTATTAAAACAAGTGGCAACAAAACCAGCATTTAACATAATGGCTAAATAATGAAAACTCTGCACCCTTTCTGCAAACACCTTGTAGCATCTTTTGCACATGGTGAGTATGTATTTACAAACCACTGGTGCTGGTTGATACTGCAGCCAGCAGTATTGGAATTCAGCAGCTTTGCTTTCAAAGTGAAAACAAAGGAAGTGAGTTAAAGCCCCCCCAGGCTCCAACCCCCTTTTCTGGAGCAACTTAAATAAAGACACCCAGGGATATCTGAAAAAAAAGGAAAAGAATTGGAGGAGCTTATATTTAGCTTGCCCTCCAGAGAAATAAGTGATTTTTTAGAAGCCCCAGTTCCCCAATCCCTTCTCCAAAATTTAAGGTCATTATATAGCACTGTGTATGTTACCAGGCAGACATTCAATATTTTTATTCTTGTGGCCCAAAATGAAATACAAATGCCATTAAAGAACAACCTTTATATATGCACAGTATTATTATTATTATTAGTTTAAAACCCTAGCTTGTGTGACAGCACCTTCACATTTTGACACGTGTGATCATTCCTTTTGTGTTACATTTTTCAATGGGCATACCATCCCAAGATATATTCCAGCACAAAGAGATATCTTTTTTTGAGGTTTTCGGAGGGAAAGAAAATGAAGAACCCAACAAAAATGCCCTAGTGTTTTCCAAAAGATAAAATAATAGCAATGTCATTTTAGAATCCTACTAATTCAAGTTAGGGTCAGAAAACCTGATCCTGTGTCCTTGAAGTTAAAATAAACATTGTCATTATCTCCACTTACTGGAGTTTTAAGAATATAGAATGTTTGCCACCCGATCAAATTTTCATCTCTCTATCAATGGGATAGAGAATCAGAAGGTTCTGTGGTTCATGGGAAAATCGAATGTTTCTCTAGTATTACATAACAGGGCAGGTTCAGGAAGACCACCAGCTTGGTGAAGTCTCTAGTACTGTACAGTTCATACTTTTGCTGTTATAGGGCATGCCTGACTGCAGCAATCGCCCTCTTCTCTCACCAGGTAGCAAAGCTTCCTTTTGTCATTAACGATGGGAAATGGCACCATATCTGCATCACATGGACAACCCGGGATGGTGTCTGGGAGGCTTATCAAGATGGCACACAACGAGGCAATGGGGAAAACCTGGCCCCTTATCATCCTATCAAGCCACAAGGGGTCCTTGTTTTGGGACAGGAACAGGTAAGGTAGCATGGTGGCAGCGGAGGAGGAAGGGGTGGCTACTGGAATTTATCCATGGTCTGTACAAGGTTTGCAGCAATTTGATTAGAAAGACGGGTAGAGAAGGTGCTTAAGCATTATAGTTAAAACCTGCAGATTGTGCTGCTCTGGATTAGCAGACCTAGATATTCCTTGGAACACAGGAAGCAGCCAGAGTCAGACCATTGGGTCCATCTGACTCTTGATTTTCAGCACTGGCTGGAAACTGCTCTGCAGGGTTTTGAGCAGGGATCTCTCCCAGCCATACCAGGAAATGCTGGGGACTGCAGCTTCACATGCTACATAGTAGAATCCACCTTGTATTCCAGATGCCTGTTCAGCAGGTCTTATCATGCATATGCCGGGGTCTCCAGTGCCAATGTAGCATGGTTATGTCAACCTGCCATACTGGTGTTCCATACCTTCTGAACCTACAGCATAAGGTTTACTGCAGCGATAGTTTCATAGGTTGCCTGTCAGAGTCAGCATTTAGTACATTTGTTAGATGAATTGTTAGATGAATGCAAAGTGGTTCCGCCACGGGCAGTACAGGAAATTTGCCCCTTAAAAACAACAACTGTGGCAAAATTTGATGAAGTTTTTTAGGCATCAGATAAGAACAGAAGGAGATTAAAGAGAGGGAGGGAGGAGACCAAATGGTATGGGGGTGGTGGTGAGAGAGTTCTAAAATGAGTAGGAGACACAGAAAATCACCAATCTGTTCCCTTTAGTCATGCACATTAAAGAACAATTGAACCATGGGTAGCCAACATGGTGTCCCCACACATATTGCTGGATTTCAGTGCCCATAATCCCTGACCATTGGTCATGCTGGCTGGAGCTGATGGGAATTGGAGTTTAGCAACATTTGGAGTGCACCACATTAGCTACCCCGTGAACTACACACGTTTGCATACACAACCACTCATAATTGTTTGCATACACAACCACTAGATTGACGTTCCCATGGAACAAGTGGGATCTTCAGGGCACATAATAATTTTGACAGTGGTAGAGACAACAGTGCTGCCTAACATCTACACCTGCACATGGATACACACACACACACACACACACACACACACACACACAAATTATAATTCAAATTTTACAGGGTGATATGCAAGTCCTGGAAAGGGTCCTGTCCTCGTTGCTTCTATGTCTAAAGCTAACCAACTATTTCACACTGAATTACACACCACAGGGCATCTAAATTTCCTTCCTGCATTTCTCATAAAAACAAGCAGTTATTTTCCCCATCACTTATCGCACAAGTGACATAGATCAACTCTGCCTGCCAGTTACACAACATGCTCACTCAGATACATTGCCATAGTCAGAAAGCGAAAGTCATGGTATCCAATTATTCTGGTGCAGGCTTTCAGTTTTTAAAAAATATTTTCACATCCAAAAAAGTGTCAAGATGGAGGATCATAGCAAATCACCACGGCCCATTTCTTTAAACGCCACTTGTCTTCTTCCTCTCTCAAAACAACATGTGAGGCCTTTGTTTACATGTGCATACAAATTTACATTAAAAAATAAATAAATCTGTACTGCCATTCAAAATTCTCAGAGTGCCTTACACCACAGAATGAAAGGAGAATAGAAACACTGCAAAATTTAACACTACTAATTAGAGACAGAGTTATCCAGTACTGTAAAGGTAAAACTAGAAGGTCTTTTCCTAGCACCTAGAAGATAGCAGAGCAGGCTGCAGGCAAGTCTCCTCAGGGAACAACTTCCATCTCCATCCTTCTCCCTTCCAGGCATACTGGCACTGCTGGAACCAGGGGCCTAAGTTTCTATTTTTGGAAGTTCCATCCATGGAAGATGCACTTAAAAGGTTGCACGTCGCATCCTCCTTATTGAACTTCTCTGTTGCAGTTTATTCCTGCTGACCTTTGCATGCTGCCACGAAAGCTTTCTGGCTCATTTCAAGTGTTTACTCTGTCAAGACTGTAGGATTCCCAGTGTTGACTTACCTCTTGGGTCTTCTTTTTTTTTAATATAAAATTTTACAATGTGCATGCCATCCTAATATATATTCCAGCACAAAGAGTTATCCTTCTTGGGGTTTTCAGGGAAAAAGAAAATGAAGAACCCAACAAAAATGCCCTGGAGTTTTCCAAAATGTAAAATAATAGAGATGCCATTTTAGAATCCTACTAATTCAAGTTAGGGTCAGAAAACTAACTTTTAGATAAGGATATATATTGCGTATTTCCAGGGTGAGATGTTTTCAAAACTTTTATCTTCAATTTCTCTCTTCAAGGACACACTTGGAGGTGGATTTGATGCCACCCAGGCATTTGTGGGAGAACTAGCCCACTTCAACATCTGGGATCGGAAGCTCACCCCAGGGGAGATCTACAACCTGGCCACGTGCAGCACCAAAGCCCTGTCTGGTAGTGTCATAGCCTGGTCCGAGACCAACATTGATATTTATGGTGGAGCCACCAAATGGACATTTGAAGCCTGCCGTCAGATCAACTAAAAAATGCTGCTCTTCCCCACCCTTCCCATTCCAAATCCATTTAACCCTTGGTTAACAGACATTCTCCTCACCCAGGAATGAATTATGGACAAATCTATTTCCTTTCTCTCTTCTGTCTTTCTTTTAAAAATTATCTTCTTTATTTGTTCTAAAGAATCAATCATATTTTTTTTTTAATCTAGGAGACTTGGAGTTTTTCAGTCAACTCTAAGGCAACCTGGGACTTTGCAACCTTACAATTTTGAAGAGAGGGTTCATTGTCCCCCACCCCACCCTCTCTCACTCTTTTGTCCCTTTCTCCTTTGGATCGAGACTTTATTATCTTTTTTCCATTTTGCTTTATGAAGTCTCGTCATGAATGGTCTGATTTTTCTGGCTTGCCAACTTTGTTTCAATGCCTGAGTGCCTTTGGGCTGGTGCGACTCTTTCAGCACATTTGTCTTCATTTGCATATACTTTTTAAAGGATATCTCTATATTCCTACTCTACTCTATGTCTTTTAAGCAGCCAGTCACCTGTGGGCAGATATTTATTTTTTATTACGAATTATTCTCTGAGTGATAGGAGGATAAACGCTTTTTGAGAGACGCATGATGGTGGCTTGACTAGGAGATTTGAGGGGTGGTGGTGGGGGGTAGGACTGTTCTCTGAAATTCTTCAGGTCTCTCATTGCTCCCCCACCAATTGTGTAAACCTCTGGCTATGGCCGGAGCAAACAGAGCCATCTTTGCCCCCCAAGGGTACATGTGAGACTCAGGAGCATTGCCAGCTCAAGGATCCTAGACGACTTGTCCAGATCCTTGGTCTTTTGTAGGAGCAGCTGGTTCCTACCTATTTTAATGGAGCTGCAGAGCAGCTCCCTTCCCTTGTCTGCCTTCATTTTGCTGTACAGCCTAAAGGATCTGCCTCTGTTAGCCATCACAAAGCCTATGCGTAGTCCAGAAAACCTTCCTTCCACAGGCATTGATTACTGCTTCTCCCAAATCTCTGTGACCCAAAGATGGCAGAAAATCACCCGGTCCATCCCCTTACCTCTCCCTTCCTGGTTCCACAGCAGGCTCCTACTTGCCTTCCCCTCCAAAGGTAATGCACCCTGGGCCTTTCCCAAGAATACTTGGCTTGAAGATGGGACTATTTTCTTATGACTTTATGAGGCATTCCCAAACCCTTACCAATGCTCCTTTACTCTCACTAAGAGCCATAAACCTGAAGGGCTGGGGTAGGGGGGAGTTTTAGTGGTAGTCGGATGCAAAGCATGTGGTTGCAGTCCGATTTCCATGGCCATACTGCTGAGCTGAGATTTTTGCCTTTTAAATACAAATTGGGTTCACTGCAGGTGGCAGGATGTATAGCGCAAGGAGCCTTGCCTGCCCTGTGCTTATTGGACCCAATGAGATTTGAGGTATACTTCACTTTCATAAAGGTTCATAGCTCTTCCTTTGTGAAAGGAATAAGGAACTGCTTGAGAGAGGTTTTAAGCAAATGTGTCAAGAAACTGAATAAAGGGCAAATCCTGGTTTTGCTCCAAAGCCCCAGGGAATTAAGAAGAGGCTGTGACCTCTCCATGCATCTGTTTTGCCCAATAACCAGAAACAGAGCCTGCACTATGTTTTGTTTTTTTTAAAAAAAGAACAGCACAAGGGATACCTAACAGACTGTATGTCGAGCCTTCAGATAAACCTCTGCAAAAAGGCAAAATGTGCGTTTCTTATCGTGCTATAGACGGAGCTGTTTGCATCCTGAAGGGCACCAACTATTTTAGGAGGCTGGGAAGGTGTAGCAGTTGGCCTTTCTTGCAAGGATTGTGTTTTGGTTAGATAAGAGTGCCTATTTTACCACCTTTAGTGACAATGGGTTGCATAGTGCTCTTTATAGATTCCGTCCTAGTTTATGGTACCCTTAGATTTCCTGCAGGCTTATAGGGAAGGCAAGGGGTGTACTGTCGTTTCTTGCATGTTTTCAGTAGGTGCCTCAATCGTGTTTTACCTGGTCTAATGCTTGCCTGCTTGCATGGGCTAATGCAGAGCTGTGGGGGGTTTGCTGAGTGATAGTTCATGCTTTAAAAACAATTCAAAAACTAAAGTCATCCAAGCACGATAGTATAGGTCAGGCATGGCTGGAAAAAGGTGGCTAATGATACAGCATTCTTCCCCATGATAAACAGCACTACACGTTTTTGTATTAAAAAAGAGAAGAAGAGCCACCAGTTAAAATATTGGTAACTTTAAAAGAAATCAATCCATGGGAACTGCTCCACTCAGCTTTGTCTTTTCCTATAAGTCCTGGAGAAGCCAGAGCTCTTAATCCAGTAGTTGTGCTGTCCTAAAAAAGCAGCTATAGGAGCTGTTCTTTAAGCATTTCTGCGGTGCAACGTACACTGTGCTGCTGAATCAGTCCTGTTGATGTTTACCAACCTGGATGTACTTGGAGCTGTCCCTTCAGCACCACCATGGGTGGGTATTTTCCATGCCAGACCCCCTGGGAGCTGTCCGTTCAGCACCAAGGCTTCTCTAGCGAGCACAGAATAAATAGCTGATCCAGCCAAACTCAAGCCTACTGCTTAATACGATTGATGTCCCCTCTTGCACTGAATAATACATGCCTCTCTCAGGTAATGCCCTTTTATAAAAACATACATACAAGTAAAGAGCACTGCACAGGCAGTGCATGTGTTTGCCTAAAGACTGTCTGACAGTTCCCAAAGGCCTCCTTCTAAAGGAGGTGTTTTCACTGGCCATTTACACAGGTGTAGTTCCACTGACGAATATAAGGTCACACCAGTTTAGGTAATCAGCAAAGCATTCTCCAGCAAGTGTTCCTAAACATGGGTAACTTAAAGTCCTATTCACTTCCCTAGGACTTAACTTACAATCAGTGTATAGAAATCACAGCTCAAATGTGATATTAGTTGAATCAGCATTTTCTCTCCCTTGAAGGGTTAGCTACTCTTTGAAATGTCAAGCCTTTCTGCTTTTGTAAAACAAAATACACACAAATTATTTCTCTTGTTGTAAAAGGAGTTTACTACCAAGAAAGGTATTTTTATTAGAAAAGAATATATGTAGAAAAACAGGTATTCCCTGAAAAAAATACTTTTGAGCTACAGATGAAGGATAAAAGGATGATAAAGCTTATTTTGAGATAAATAATATTTTATATGGTTTCTTTTTTTAAGAAAAAGAATTTCTGGTTTGTACTAATAGTCTGCAGCCATCACCCCTTTAAATGACCTCGCCCTCTCTCATCCTGGTCAAGGAGTTTTTCTTGGCTGTGAGTGAAAAGGGTGAAGGATAGAATTTGTGAGGCTCACTGAGCCATTTTGACCAACCCTAAAGCTGTGGCAAATGAATATGCAGCATGGATGGGCATGTAATAAGCAGTTCAAGGTCGATGTTGCACTATTGAAAGGTTGCTGCTCATCAGATATTGAAGTGGGTCATGTGACCACCCTATGAAATCACAATGCTAAAGCACTAGGAGAGGGGGTTGGAAATCTATCTAAACATAATCACCACAAACCCAGCCTAGTTATCTTACTTTTAAATCTTGGCTCAGGGCAGCATATTTTAAGCAGTGCTCTTTAAAAGCAAAACCAACCAATCCCAACAAAATTCTACCTTGTAAGATCGATCTGCTAACGACCCTTATTGGAAACCTTCTTGTAACTAATAATGAATGTTAAGTGTAAACTGATGAAGGGGGAAAAACATGTCAAGGTAAATAAATCCAGTCCAAATTGCGCAGGATTTGCCAAAATAAAAAAAATAAAAAGGGTGATAGTGATAAAATTGTATATACTGTACAGCGTGAAAGAGGATAAATGTTTCTTGAGTTGTCATTCTGTTAACCAAAGCTGTATATTTTTCCTATTTCTTGCTATCAGTCTTTACTGGGTTTTGAATGAGTTGATGTTATATCTTACATCCACAGTCCACATCAGCAATTCTTAAAATGCACTGTTTCTACTGGTTCTTCATGCTGTTTTTTCCCTTTCCTTTTTTCATTTTATTGCTTAAACTACATGAATTGTTGAATTTATTTTTACACAATAAAGAGTGATGAAAGACAACACGGCTGCAGTCATTTCCCCCACCAAACTTTCCTCTCCCAGAAAGGACCCCAGTACAGCCAGGAACTCCCAAAGTCAGCTCCACTTGGGAAGAAGCATGTCTTGTGCTGCTGAGTCGGCAGCAGCAGAGATCTCACACCTGCAGCACAGATTGTGGCCTGCTGCCATGGTTCTGCAAAACCAGTCCTGAAAACAACTGCATATGCTCTCTAGCCAAGTGAACCAGCTGACCATTGCCTGTGGTAATCTCCCTTTTCCTGCCAGTTCTTCTGTCTAAACAATTAGGGTTGCCAGCTTTTGCTGCTTTGGGATGCCCAGTTTTGCTTTCATCTCTATCCAGCTGATCTCCTGCACATACCTCTTGTTTTTTTTTCTGGCCCAACCCTATATTGGGATAAGAGGACTGAGCAACATATCTTCTCATCCCCTGTCTCAATGACTTGAACCCTTTACAGGGCTGTAAACAAATTGGTTGATCCCTTGGCGCTTGTCTCGTGCAGCCTGCCCCTGTTCTTGACCTCTTTCGCTGGCACTGGTATTTCAAGAAACCAGAGGGACAAAGCAAGAGGGGTGAACTAGCATTTCAGTGATGACATTGCGTATCTCCCTCTCAGCAGCAGTGACTAGGAGATGCAAGTGAGGGAACACCAAAGAAGTGGGTGGGATCTCCAAGTGTGATTTAGGACAGCTATGGTCATGCTACACAGACAAGCCCTAGTCCTATTATGTCCCTGAGAGCCCCAGAGACTCCACATCAACTTCCACTTTGGCAGAGCCAGTTAATGACATCTCTGAAAAGTCACCTCCCGTCTCTCTCTTTCATCCCTGCCTTCTGGTTGTCAGGGAAACAGCATCTTGAAACCTGGCTCTCCTTCATTATGTGCATGTGACCCTAATGTAAAGCCTCTACTCTCTAAGAGAGCTTGATGTCAGAGTTTGCCCTATTTCTTTTTTAAATGGTTCTATGCACATTGCTCACTAAGGAGGAGGGATTTTGGTGGAGTGAGAGGAAGGGAGAAGGCCTCTTATTCTTAGGAAGCAAAGCAGTGTATATTTCTTTCCTGAGGAATAATTCCAAACAAATCTGCAAATGCTTGGAGCACATGCAGCCAGAATTTCAGCAACAGGTGCAAATTTAATTTATTTACAATATTTGTATGCTGTCCAACAACAAATGTTCTCTGAGCGGTTGACAGTCAGCTTAAAACCAGCAAAAGGAGAACGCCAAGCACAACATAAAAGCAAATTAAATAAAGCTACCAGCACTAAAACATTAATACAACGCAGAATAACAAAACACACACAAAGATTAAAACACCCGGGCAAATAAAAAGGTCTTCACCTGGAACCAAAAATTAAAACCTGGATGCCAGCAAGCCTGCCTGTGGAGGGCAGTGGCTATGAGGATGAAATGGCAGGGATAGCCAATGTGGTACCCTCCAGGTATTGTTGAATTACAACTCCCACCAGCTCCAGGAAGCATGACCAATAGTAAGGTATGATGGGAGCTGGAGGGTACATCCCTGGTTGAATGAAATAGCCAGTGTTGTCAGCTTCCTCCCTTTGGTGAGAGGAAGGACAATAGGGAATGTACTCAGTCCTACTCAACTCCAGTTATTACATCCGCTAATAGAGGTTGCACAAGTCATTCACCCAATAATAATGGGCCAACAGAGGGAAACTGAGGATTCAGCAAAGGGATGGAAGACCTCGCCAGAAAACAACTTTGAGGAAGTGGATTCCTGTGACTACTGCCCAGTATGTAGCTGTCTTGAGCAGATCTCTGTAACAGAAGAACGTTTGCTTTATTAGTAAAAAGGAGCAACTTTTCTTCCTTGGCACCACCTTTGCATGTTTCTGCTGCTCAAGAACCAGAAGGATTGAAGACCATAGAGAATGGAACAGAGGAGTTTGCAGTGTTCACCATTTCCAGGATATAGTGGTTTGGGTACATTTTTCGTTTCACCTTGGGGCTTGCAATGCCGACTGTGAGTGGCACACTCAGTGGATGCTGGGTGTGTTTGTCAACTCCATTAATCACACAGTTGTTTCACACGAGAAGCTGGGCAGCCAGGTGAGCAGTGCTGGCCTGCAACAGGGAACTGGCATGTAATTAAGAGTAAACGATCAGCCAGGCCACCTGATATTTTGAACACAACCTTCTCTTGACATGCTTTCCTGAATGCATACATATATTGAAGATGTGGCAAGATTTTAGTTTTACAGGGGAGCTTGTGCCTCTGGGTAAAAACACAAGTGTGATTCCATTGAGATGGTCAATGATATGATATGGTTTTTTCAGTATCAGTGATGCCTTACATTTCTTGAGTGTGCAAAAGAATGAAAGGGTTGGTGTGTCACTTTAATGATTCCAATTGCCTTCTTTTGGACCATACCTTACAACTGAGATAGAAGACTCAAACATGTTGTCATAGTGATTCATGGGATACTAGGACCTATGGGACCAAAAGCAGATGGCAATCGTGAGAAGGAGAAATGAATGTGAGCAACCCCTCTGCTTTTTCTAGGTATTTACAGACATGCTTAAAGGTAACGCAGACACAAAACAATTTACAGACAAATATAATATCCACATCTCAATGGCTCCCTCTAAGCTGTGCTCTAAATTGAGCACAATTCAAAGTGTTGGTGCTGACTTTTAAAACCCTAAACAGCCTTGGCCCCTTATACCTGAAGCTGCCTCTCTACCATCATTGTTCAGCCTGGACACTGAGGTCCAGCTCCGAGGGTCCCTCACTGTGAAAAGTTACAGGGAACCAGGCAGAAGACCTTCTCAGTAGTGGCACCCTCCCTGAGGAACGCCCTCCCATCAGATGTCAAGGAGATAGATGACTATATAACTTTCAGAAGACACCTGTAGGCAGCCCTGTATAGGGAAGTATTTAATGTTTGATGTTTTATTATGTTTCTGTGTGTGTTGGAAACTGTCTGGGCTGTCTGGGGTGAATAAATAATTATTAATAATTTATAAATAAATAATTTATAAATAATAAAATTATCATTAATAATAATAGTCAACTCAAGTGGTAAGTGCTGATAGGACTGGAGCCACTGAGGGACAACAGAGAGGTATCAGCATGCTTAGGGAAACCCCAAGGTTTGCAGTAGTACATTTACAGAACAAAACTCACAAGGGGGCAACTTCCTGCCCCCAGCCCGGTCCAAAAGGGGACTGGGCATGCTAAGTAGGCAAGTAGGAATGTACCAGAAAACCTGCAGGAAGGCATGGTTGACTGGAAATATGAGCAGGCACCCTCCTGCTAGGATGTGACGGTGTACTGCAACATTTTGCTGCAGGTTCACGTGGTAATCCTTCAGAAAAACACAGCTCAGTACTAAACATGTTTACTGAGAAGTAATCCCTGGCGTTTCAGTGGGGCTTACTCCAAGGTAAGGGTGCACAGACTTGCAGCTGAACCACTGTTGCTGCTTCTCTCACACAAACATTTATGGCCAAACAGGGCCTCAATAAGATATATTTTAAATAATAATTTTTAAAGTACTGTTTCTAAGGACAGCCTTTTCATGACCAGAAGGAGTGGTTGCTTTTGCAACTAAAATGCTATTTTTATGTGGCAAAATGCAGAGCTTACTTTGTGTTTCTGACAGAGCTCCCATCCGCCTTCTCTTCTGCCACCGCCACCCCCACCACGCCTGTTTGCTCTTTCCATACAACGGTGTCTGGCTTCCAACCAGATGATTCTCCACAGAAACTGGGGGAGAGAGGGAGAGGGTTGTTTTTGTTGCAGCCCAGTGTTCCATCTGCTGGGAAAGAATGCCAGTCACAGGCACCACAGCAGAAGCCACCCCATGATGCTTTAAAAGTGCACTCTTAGCCTAGCACTGACAAGGGTTACTATGATGAAAAGCATTCCGTCTTCATCCCATGGACTAATACAGAGATGGGAAATCCCCCTAGCCCTCCCACAGAGGTCCACATTCCTGTGGGGGCAATATCTTGGGGAGGGGGTCACATGCTAGTAGCGGCCAGCGTCAGAGCCAATGATGGGTTGAACCAGAGACAAAAGTGTTCTGGATTAATTAATCCAGGCTAGACTAATCCAGGCTTCAGTTTTCACCAAGGTTACCTCAGATTAGAATTTCCAATACTACACAGGGTTGCTCAGAAGCAAGCATTAATGGGTTTGGTGGGTCATTTTCAAATACGTATACAAATGATTTTTGTTTTGTTTTTTAGTACAATAGACCAACACAACTACTATTCTGGAAAGCAAGTGAAAGCAGTTCCTGACTTTATTGTTGCAATGCATAAATGCATATGCAAGCACGCACATATAGCAGAAACCTAACCATTTGTTCTCAAACAGCCGGGAGGGGGATTCTTTCCCTCAAGTCATGGAACCAGTAAATGAATTTTCAGAAATCAATTAATTTTTACTACCCAAAAAATACTGTCCCTCCCAATTGTTTGGAAACTATGTAGAAAGAAAGAGGAACACTTTAAAAAAGCCGGGAGAAGTAAGGAGGAAATGAACAGGACAGAGAGAACTATTGTGGGATGGAAGGGGGCAGCTTTAGGAGGAATTAGCAGTTGCATAAAATGAGGCTGGGGCTGCGAGTTAAACGATGGGCTGGATTCAACTAACTCAGTGGGCCAGCAGACGTCGGCACAAGGGCTCCTGCTAGCACACTGGAGCTTCCCCCCAACTCCCCCTAGTTCCTCACCCCCCAATCCACTCTGAAAGGTTGGAAGAGCCCCCCAGAACAGTGCACAGGGAGAGGAGAGGGGAGAGCATTCCATCGAGCAAGCAGAAATGCTTGTACTGATGGAAAAACTGTGATAGCATTACGTTGGATCCCACCCAGTGAAATTTGTTATTGCAAGATGTGGTGATGACCACCAACTTAGATGACTTCCAAAGAGGCTGACAGTGCAGAGGTAGAGACCTATCATGAAGAGGCACTTGTTGTTGTTGTTTAGTCATTTAGTCGTGTCCGACTCTTCGTGACCC